TTCAATGAACTTTGCATTAAATTGTCATTACTAGAAACCGACTGACATTCTTCATCAATCTTATCAAGTTTTCGTTTAGTTTTACCATTCCATTCAAAAAAAAAAAATTCCGAATATTCATCAACCGAAATTATTTCCCTTTCAATTTCGTCAACGGAAATGAATGCCTCTATCTCTAAGTTAAGTTTTAAAAGCTCATTTTCCTTTTTGATTAATTGATCATATGAAGTTTTTAATTCTTCATTTTTCTCATCATCCAAGTTTTCGTCCTTAAAACAGGCTTCTCTCTTATTAAGAAGTTTAGTTGTTGATGATCGATAGGTCGTTATCTTTAGAATGGATTTTTTCTTCAAGTTTTCATCAATTTCAACTGTTTCATTGATATCACAGACCGACATGGTTATTCAAATGCAAATCTATTCAAGTTTCAAAAATGATAAGTGACCTTTTTTATTTTAGTTCAAAATCAAGCAAAGTCACTAAATTAATTCAACAGTTGGCATTTTTTTTTTAAATTTCACAAAAAATACTTAAAGGATTATTTCGTAATTTTAGATGTATAGTTCATGCAATTTTTCATACTTAACAATAAAATTTGAAGTTTTTAGACGTTTGAGAGACCTACAATAAATTATGGACAAAAACAAGTATTTTTGAACACCGTATCGAAAATCAAGCAATAAGCTTGTATCGATTACTTTAGTTATTTTAAATAATTGTGTAAAATTTTCCAAACCTAAAGTAAATATTTATGGACAGTTTTATAAAAAATTTCTCACCTTACGCTTTTTTGTTATAACTTCATAGATATTCAATGGAATTAAACAAAATTTTTAGAGCAATTTAAGATTAATTACAAAATTGTTGATTAAAATCTTTTAAAAAATAGTTAAAAACTGTACAAATTATGAGTATTTAAGCTAGTTCCTTTATACTGAGCATGCACTCAAAATATTTTAAAATGTTTTTTCATAATTTTGTAGTGAATCATATTTGGGAGCTAATAAATAAAAATATTTAAATATCTTAAAAATTTAATCTAAATCTAAGTACTTCATAGATATTCAATGGAATTAAACAAAATTTTTAGAGCAATTTAAGATTAATTACAAAATTGTTGATTTAAATTGCTTTTAAAAATAGTTAAAAACTGTACAAATTATGAGTATTTACGCTAGTTCCTTTATACTGAGCATGCACTCAAAATATTTTAAAATGTTTTTTCATAATTTTGCAGTGAATCATATTTGGGAACTAATAAAAAAATTATTTAAATATCTTAAAAATTTAATCTAAATCTAAGTACTTTTCAAAAGAAAGCTCAAAACTATCAATGGGGTTTTTCACAAATTTTATTTTCTATCATAAGATCTCATTTAATAATAGTACCCGACAATAATCGTTCAGAAATCAAACTTCAATGGTACCCCACTGATAAGTGAAAGAAAACATACTTTTATTGGGGTCACCCTCTACAATGCTGGTCTCATTTTTAATAAATCTTGTTTAATAAGTACAAGATGAAATTTGTAGATAAACTCTTATTGTTTTAAGTTTTCGTTTAAAAAGTGCAAAAATTACTTAGAAAATTATTATATTCAAATGAAGCTTTTACTATCATTAAATGCCAAACACGATTCCCAACAAAATTATGAAACAAACCTTTTTAAATTTTTGCTGTGCATGCGCAGTATAAAAGAACTAACTTAAATACTCAGATCTTGTGTAGTTTTTAATGAATTTTTTTAAAATTTTAAATCAACAATTTTGTAATTAATCTTAAAATTTCCCAAAAAATTTTGATTAATGCCATGGAATATTTATAAAGTTATAGCAACAAAAAAACACAAGGCCAAAAAATAAATTTTCGTGTAAAAATGTCCATATCTCCATAAATATTTATTCTAGGTTTACGTAACTTTATGGGATTATTAAAAATAATAATTAAAGTAATCGATACAAGTTACAAGTTTTTAGCTTAATTTTCTGGCATAGGGTGTTCAAAAATAATTGTTTTCTTTCGTAATTTATTGTAGGTCCTGCAAACCTATAAAAGCTTTTTTATTGCTAAGTATAAAAAATCGCATGAACTAAACACTTCTAAAGTTACAAAATAATCCTTTAGGTAATTCTTGAGAAATTTTTTAAAAAAATGTCAAAAACTGAAAGTGCCTTTTCCATTATTGTAGGATAGTGTATGATGCAAAACTCTGTTATATATATATAATATGTTATAACATCTTATGTGTTATAAAAAATTACAGTTATCAGCATGGTGTTAAATTTTGAGGGAAATCAAGTTATTAAGCCTGCAAAAAAAGTTCAATTTATTAAGCATGTGAGTAATAAAAGTGCTGTTCTAAAACAAAAATGCCTTTTTAAGTTCATGAAAGCTTATTTCATTAATTTGCAAATGAATTTTCTCTTATAAATCAGGGTTGGGGTTCTGGACGTCCTAAACTGGTTCTAGACAGGGTACGTGGGTTTCACTGTCCTAAACTGACTAAAACTGTCCTAAATTGTCTTAAAATGTTCAAAACCTAGAACATTGGTAAAAGGCAAAATTCTATAAGTATAACCCCTATACACATAACAATAACAGATATTAATAAATATTTGATACTTTTAACTACAATTTGCTTTAACTTAATAAATAAAAATAATATAATACAGTAATAGGAAAAAATTTATAGCTATTGAAATTCCACAATTCATTGAACAGCAAAACTGAATAATTTCAAATATGTATAAATATGCCTTTAATACTGATAAATTATGTTTTTGTATAAGAATAAATAATGCAATATTAAAAATAATGATACATTTTTTTAATAAAAAAAAAATCTTCATTTTGTTTCTTGTTCAAAAAATAACCTTTATTTTTCACAATATTTTTTTTAAATTGTGACATAATTAATTTGAATAAAAGGGTTTTGGACAGGACAGTTCAAACCCTGGTTTAAAGCAAGGCTTAATCCATTCTGTCCTTAGTAAATATCCTTTCCTTTAGTAATATCCTTTCTGAGCACTAAAATTAGGTTTAAAGAATGTGTGCAAGAAGGCTAATAAAAATTTAACTTGGCATATTTATTGGGAAAAAAACCTATTTGTTATTAAATTCGAGGTGAGCAATTTTATTTAACATGAACTTCATAAACAAGTATTTATATCTGGAATACCAATGTTCATCACAGCTACATAACTCACCTTCACATAATTTATTAATTGCTGGCTTGGAAACTGTGTTGCGATTTTCCTACTTAATATATATTTTTCACTTATTACGTCCATCGTTTATTATTTTTTTCAATGAATTAATAAGAAGTTCAAAAAAACATAAAAGCAAAATCAATAAAAAATTTCATTAATGATAGAAAAATTGTTTTTCAATCAGTTTTATTTATATAGAATAAAGAAAAAAAATCGGATAATTTTATTACATGCATTTTTGTAACACACTCAACTCAGCTTAAAATAATGGGTAGAGAAATTAAGTAATAAAAACAAGCATACATTTTATTATATATCTGTTTTATTTATCAAACATTTTTTACTTAGATTTCTTATTTGTCATGTAATATCTTTATTTAAATTCCCATTATTTCTTAAAAATTTCTTTCTGAATTAAGTCAGAAGAGTATTGTTTTATTTGATAAAAAATATAGGTCAATGTTCATTGCTTAATGATTAAAATATAATGAGCTGCATAAGAATTTTTCTTACTAACTATTATTTAACACAACTAAATTTTATTTTATGAAAACTACTTCTTTCTTAATTAACTATGCAATGATTTCACAGCATAAACTTTGTTTATTTTTACAACCATTTCACACCTAGTTACTAATCTACAAAATGTAAACAAAACATCCCAAGCTTTTTCCAAACAGTGACAGATAAGACTCCTTCCACCTGATAGGATAAATTTATCAACCAGGCAAAATTTCAGTACAGATACATCCGATCAACTTTATCTTGCTCTAGTCTCATTAGATCTCAGAAAACTACGTTTGAGTAATGAAGCATAGTTTTTCGTTAAGATCGGGTTTTACGTAAACCACAGAACTGAGGTTAAACTACTGAGCTTAGACAGTGTACTGACGATTTAGCCCTAGTGTCTGATCAAGCCAGATGGAAACGACTAGTTGGGACGGCTCTAGCCTTTACTAGGTTGTTATGCTGATGGAAGAATAACTTCTTTAAAATTTATAGATCTTTGAGGAAAAAATTTTTTCTCTTAACCTTTAAATTCTGATTTACTAACAATTCAAAAAAATATATTTAAAGGATACGCTTTCAAATAAAAATCCCGAAATAAAAAAGCTATAACTTCTTATCATTGTAACTGTTCACATCTAAATATACCCAATTTTTTTCAAAATTTGCAAGTTTAAAATCCATCTATCTAGCACCTTGGCGATAGTAGTTTTGGGATATTTCCGTATCCTGATCTCTTGTGCGAACTACAATCGCCAAGGGGCCAAATAGATTTCAAACTTGCAAAAATTTTTTTTTAAAAAAAACATGCCGATGTTTGTCCGGGGGTAGCTACGAGTTATACACTTCAAATTGGTTCATTTCTCTGAAGTTTTTTTTTTTTTCAGTTTCTCGCGGGCCGATGCCCAGAAGTTGCCAAGTCTTGGATATTACTCCACCATAGATCAGGATACGGAAATCTCCCCAGTAGTTGGCGAGTGTTTCTTTTTTCTCTTAAATAGTTTCTTCGAAGTCACTGCCATATTGTCGCGAAAATTCAACGAATATTTTGGCGCAGTTACAGATACGAACCCTTTGTGATACAATTAAAACATTTTCTAGACATCAAGTACAAAAAACTCAGAAAGGAAGAACAAGCAAAACTTCAAAAAAAGTACTAATTAATTAGTTAGTAATGCATACATATTGAAAACAAAACAAATGATTTTAGAAGTAACGAGAACGCCATAATTAAAAACCTAACACAAATATCAAACTTATACTGTACTAAACTTATTACTTACATATGATAAAAGTTTTCAATCTTCGATTAAAAGTAAGATTATCATAAAAATATTACAAATGTCTACAAATTTCCACAGCTCACTTGAATTTGTTTAGGCTTCTTTCTTAATAACAAACGCTTCTGTTTACCTATTTCTATCCACTTTATGGTCCATAATCTATATCAGGTTTCATGAGCTGAAATATACAGATATTGGTAACAGCCAATCAAATAGGTGTATTTACTTAAAAAATCAGACAACCAATCAACAGCTTATTTGTATTTCTAAGAATTAGCAGTTTCTAAAGGAAATTGTTAGCAGTTGTTAACTGTAATTTCATTTAACACTGCTAATTTTCAAGTCTCTCTCAACAAGTTTTCGCTATCAAATTCAAAAACAGTGTCAAAATGAAATGCATTATCCCAAGTTTTGTATCTCAACTGCTGTTTACTAAGCTGAACTGACGCATATATATTTGTTTTTAACTAATTTTTACAACCAAACTGAACTCCTGTTCTACTCATATTTTTATATACTTTTGAAAGTTGGCGGATTCAAAATGAGTTCTTCTAATGCTAATAGAGAAAAGTTGTTCGCCAAAACTGTTCCTGTGTCTATTACTGATGGATCATTTACAAATTTGCGGTAGTTAATATAAATTTTTTCTAGATTTCTGTATTGTGATCTATCGCGCACCAGTCACAATCGCCAAGGTGCCAAGTAGATTTTTTACGAGCAAATGTATTTTGATAAATATGTAGAAGTTTGTAGTGGCTATGAGTTATACCTTTCGAGTTGGTCCCTTTCTGTGATGTTTTTTTTTTTTAGTTTCTCTATGTCCGCTGCCCGGAAGTTACCAAGACTTGGCGATTATTCTGCTACAGATCACAATATAGAAAAATCTCCCCTTAATCAAAATTAGTTCATATTTGTTCAATTTTCCCCTATCAAAGGATTGCCTAAATTTTGCTGCTGTTAAATCCCAAAGTTCGTATTGCTTGGCATTTTGAGATAAGTAAGCATTGTACATATAATACGTTTAGACATGTAAATTTTTTACTGTGAAAATGTGAGTTTTAGGCTGCTTTTTTTACAATAAAATACAGATTGAGATGTAAAAATAATTTATTATTGACACCTGTGCTGTTTAATTAATTGTAGTAATAGATGATTGATACTGTTATTATAGGTACTTAAAATAAACTAATAAAGACAATGTTGTTATTATAGGTTTTTTTTCTGTGTCCCAAAAAAAATTTGTACAAAAAATCAGATAATAAATATGAAATTAGTTTCAATTTGAAGAAAGTTTTTTTATTTAAGATTTTGTGTTTGTAGTAAGTATTTCGTATGATCTCTGATAGTAGCCATAAAGAATAAAGGTTTGGATAAAAATAAAAAGTGGTAAATTTGAGAAAAATAATCTGTATGTATAACAAAGTTTTAGTTGACCATAGAATGAGCTGTATGTTTACTCAATTTATTGAATGACTTTAATCAAAGATATATGTTTTAGCTAATGTTTAAAGAATTGCATCTTAATGCTAACTTTTTTAAGAGAAAATTAAAAATTAATTATTGCAAATATTTTAAATTAGAAGAATATATTTTGACATTTTTGCTCAAACAAAGTCTTCTTATCATATTTAAATTTTAGTAAAGTAAATTAATCAGTAGAAAATTTTAAACAAATTAACACCTGATAGACTATATTTTATTGTGTAAAATACCTGGTTGTTTATAACTTTGGTTAAATACCCTGTGTAATTACTCTGGTAAATACCCAAAATTTATAAATACCTGGGTATTTATCAATTTCATTGAAAACTTAATGATATGATTTTCTTATCAAAAATTTTATATATTTTGGACACAATTAAGTCAATCATTTAAGTCAATCATCATCGCATTGTCAATCATTTATTATGACGAAAAATTCATTCAATTGAACTTATAAATAAATTAAAATTGTTATTTTTTTATTTTCTTTATTTGAGCATGATTATGGTTTCATCCTCTTTAAATTCACATTTCTAATCAGAAAACCTAGTGTTTTTTTTGTTTGTGTTTAAATTTATAGTTTTAGTTTATCATTTATATTAAATTCACAAACTCAATATGAATGAAGAAAAAAAAAAGAGTTTAAAACAAATTTTTTGAATTACATTTATAACTAGATAATACAGTTACAAATTAAATATAAAAGCAAATAAAGTCGAACAAAGTTGTCCTAAATACTATAGTCATAATGATAAAAGTTGCGACACACTATGTTTAACACACAAGGGAAAATAAATTATTACTGGTCAATCTCTTTATCATGGACTCACACAATTCTGAACTTTTTAAGTAATTTATTATATTATGAAAATGTACAGAGATAAATCCATTCATGTTCTTACATAGTATCACTGTCATAATCAATATTCTAAGAATTTGTATATTTTGTTTTACACTCCACTTTGTATTAGGATTGAGTTTTTGACATCAAAAACCTGGTGCAATTTTTTTTTTTTTTTGTCATTGTGGACATTTTATTAGGCATTAAATCATACAGAATACTTTTATTATATACTACTCTAATTATGTTCTGTAATATATATCAGTTTTAAAAATTTGAGCCAAAATTATTGTAACTATTAATAACAATGTGGTACTAATAATTCTTAAAGATCAATATTATTTGCTATATGATAACTATTCAGTTTGTGTTACAGATAATGACTATGAATTGTTAAGTATTACATATTAATCTAAATATTTATTTGAATTCTTTTATGTCACAATTTAGACAGATTTTTTAGATAAGTGAAACTAAAGTGTTCACCAATGATTGCCTGATCTCAACTTATGATTTATTTTTGATTCTCAATATTTGTTATTATTTATATGCAGGAGAGCAAAATATATTTAATCGTCTGAAGGAGGTTTTGGAAAAAATTCTGTCACCCATGAAGAAAAAATGGTCTAAAAATGTCTCTTAGTGTAAAACAAGTGTCGCTTTGCAAAATTTTTTATTGTTAAAAAATAACTTGTCAATTTGTGTATTTAATAGTTAAAATTCTCTAATGAAAGAAAACCTTACACTTAATTTTTTATTTTAGTATTAATGAATTTTGTTTTCTATTATTTTTACATATATACGTTTATTCAAGAATGTCGTAAAATTAGTAACTGAATCTTGTTTTTTATATAAATTTTACTTTTCGAAAAGATTTTGAAAAAGAGTTTTTATGCTATAGATAAGATCAAGGCAATTTAAAGAGGAAAAGGACATTTTCCTATAGTGTAAAATGCAGAACCTATTTTTTAGTGAGGTCGGAGAGCTAAATAAATAATGTAAAATTTAGTGGAAATAAAACAGAAATAGTTGTTTTCTCTGAATATTATGTTCTGACTCCCCCAAATATTGAGGGGTATAGACCCCACTCCCTTTTTTCTGGTTGTGACGTTAATGTGTATTCAGTGTTCTCGCTAAGTGTTTTTAGAAGGGCGGAGTGCCTTGCCTTTTTGTAAAAATAAACCATCCCTTAAAAACACTGCCTTTTTATTTATATTCCATTTTCAAAAAATAATTCATTGTTAAAATAATAATTACAAACTGATAAAATTTTCTGTGTTTATAGGTTTAATTGTGATTACTAAAGTTAAATTTTTTAAGTGATTTTAAAATTATTTTTAAATATCTTTTTATCTGAAAAAAAAAGATGCACCTTTAAATATTTATTTTCTCATAATTTTCAGTATAAATTACAGGAAAATTCTTTCAATTTTTCACTTATTTTGATAATGAGTGAGAACTACTTTTTGAAATATACACATAAAATAGTCTAAGTTTAGTTAGTTTAAAAATTGTTGAAGATCAAATTCAGATATTACACATTTTGATAAATTTTTACAGTGTGAATAGAGTACCCTTTCGAAACTCAAAATGCCCTTTTCTGTAATAAAGCGCAGCGCCCTGCCCTATTTTATTCCTAGGGAAAACTCTGGTGTTTTGCTAAAAATTATCTTATCTTGAACCAATTTGTTTGATCTTCCTAATTGGAATTTATCTTTTCTTCATCACAAGTGTGTACTAAGTTGAATTGGCTTTTTTTTTTTAAAAAAATTGCAAATTGTTTACTGAATTTGTAATGCTATCCTTGTCTATTATTTCTCTATTTATATTTAATTTTGATTCTTTAAATTGATTAATAAATAAAATGAAGTAATCTCAATTTTTACATTTATTAATAATGTTGAAAAATTGCTAAGCAACATAGCTGCCAACATGGATAGGAAAAAATCCAGTAGATTTTACAAAATAATATAAATTTCATGAAATTGTTGAACTAAATATTTTACGCATAGGGAATTTTAGGGATTTTTATAGTCATCAAAATAGAAAAACTGTAATATTTTCCAGTTAATGATTGACATTAAACATACTTAAAATTTTATGTATTATGTTTACTCATAATTTTGAATATTAATAGGCATTTAATTCATCAAACACAGTTAAAAGATTTTTTTAATTAATTTAAAAAGAGAGCTCTGAATAAAAATAAACGGAACATTTTAGAAATAAAAAAGGTTTAAATGGATTTCTAAAAATGAGGTTCACGTCATTATGTATTAGTTATATTTATTTAATAATTCAAGCAAGCAAAGCAATAGTCGGTACAAAAATTCTATTTCAAGAATTCTATTTTAAGAAATTCTATTCTATTTTAAGGAACTTACTCAATTTTAGGGAATTTTCTAAATTGTACAAAAACCAGGAGAATTTTAAATAAACCAGTAGACCAGGAGAAACTACCAAAATCCAGTAGTCTACTGGAAAATCCAGTAGAGTTGGCAGCTATGCTAAGCAATAACAGCATAAAACATATTCAAAGATTTTAATAATAAAATTGTAATTGTCAATGTTTTTCCATAAAATTTTAATTTCTACTTCTGAAAAGTTAAGAAAAAAGAATAAAAACTTGAAATAGATTTAAAAATTATAATTTTTTTGATCTATTATATCTTGTCTGGCCTGTACATTTTATGATATATTTTATATATAAAAATTTTATTTATTTATAGTTCATTGTTTTTATCTATTGAATGGCAACAAACTGCAACCATGAAAAAGGTAAATGTTTCAATTTTTTGATTTTTTCTAAACTCATAATCGTTTGACTGATTTAGTAAAATTGATTTAAAGAATTTATTAGGTATTATAAAAAAGACCTAGAAATTCCTAATGTTTATAAATAAGTTAATTTTTGTTTTTCGTAACCGAAGATTTTGTAAAGCTGGGCGGTATTAGTCCCAATGATATAGTTGTCAAATTTTATTCTTGTTTGTAATAAATGTAGTTTCCATTGCATGTAGATCTGGTAGCAGAAATCATCCAGCTTGGCAGTGAGTGCTGCAGATTATTTTTCATCAAAGTTTTCTTTTTAATTTTTAAATAATTACAGATAAATGGAGAGAAATTTTTAAGATATATCTTAAAACATCAATAAACTTGATTATAATGATAATTAAAAAGCTGAACTGAGCGAAGAAATAAAAGTAAAGAATTTTTTTTCTATTACTTAATTACAAGCTTATATGTCTAGGGATTTATTCCATCATTAATAGTATCATTAAATAAAATTCAATTTAAACAACATAAACTTTTTGTGTATAATTTTTAAGGACCTTATATTTGCGAAGCAAATGTGGATTTAGAAAGATTCTCTAAGTTAATTCTGCTACAGGTCATGTGGGATATTTTTGATTGTGTTTGTAGTTTTGAATAATTGAATCGCAAAATCATACTTTTTTCATACTTTTTGTTCTATATTATAATTAAATCAATTTTTAACTAAATATTACTAATAAAAAGTTGGTTGCAAAATGCAAGCATAAAGTTATGTTGAATAAAAATGTTTTGGGAAGACATGATTTAAAATTTCTGAAACCAAATTCCAATTATACATGTATGTCAGTAGAAAAATTCTATCTTCCTCTTATATGAGTTTCAATCTATGATTTTAGTTTCAACTTTGCATGTTCTCAAATATGCTTACTGTTGAAGTATGTAAAGAAAAAAAGTTGAGAAACATTTTTTTTAAATAAAAAATTCATAGTATTGTTTTTAAGTCAGTTCTTAATTGATTATTCTAAATATACATTTCTTTTTTTTAGGAACTTTTCATCACTTTAACAGATAACTCGGACCCTTTCTTTTTATATGATCTTCAATTGTCTGATGATGATTTCCAAAGGTTTATATTGTTTTTATAAATAATTTGCTTAATTGAATTCTTTGACTCTTGTAGTAAAAATATCTGAGCAGTTGTCTAAATGCCACACTAATTCTGAACGATTTTGGTTAATTTTGCACACAGATGGCGCCAGACTTTGCCCAACAGGGGGGTCAAGTCTCCCCCGACAAAATTGCAAAATAGAATTACTCAGACAAATTAATTCAAAATGTTTAAATTAAAAAGCATTTTATACTTCAAAAATTTTTCTCACATCTTTTTTTCAAGAGTGTTACTAAGAAGCTAAAATCACAAATTTTGATACCATTCAAGATTTATTTTAGTGTAAATTTAAATCTCATTTTTTTCTGTTATCAATGTATTTTGTACTGTATGGTTCAATTTACCACACATTGTAAACTTAAAAATTACTGCCATAAAAAAGAAAAATTGTTTGCGCAGAAAATTTCCACACTTTTTACTCTCATAGCACAAAAATTATTCGAAAATAGAAAATTTTAATTTCATGTACATTTAACAAAACGTTTAGAAAATGTTTTGATGTGGAAATGTTATTTTTGTGCACGTCGATTGGCTTTTGAATAATTTAAATGTTAAATTCACTTTTCTCTTCTGTACCGTTCAGTTTCAGTTTTGCAAGTAAAGTTATAAGTACATTTTTTACAACAATGATTTCTATCTAAAGAAATCATGCCCCGTTTTGTACAAACTTCGAAATGATTATGCCCATTAAATTTTTTTTTTTAATTTTTACATTGTATAATTTTACAGACAAGAAAGGATTATTTTAATCGGGGGACTCGATGTTAATATATATTGTAAGGAAATATAGAGAGACTTTTAGAATTTCTCCCTGTGATACCTTTTTTTTTTCTTTTTTGGAAGATGCTTTAAGGTGAACATCTTTGGAAAAATGATCATTTCTCCATTTGGGAAAAAGAGTCCATCAGCTTAAAATATAAAATTTAAGCAATATAGCTAAATAAGAAATCTGAAATACTTAAGAGGAAAACTACATCAAACCACCTGATGTGCCTGTCCAATGAGAATGCACTTGTCAGTCATCATCTTCAAATATATTTATACTACTACTCAAATTCGCTAAAGAAGCTGCCTAACATATCCACCTTAGCTTTTTAAATATTTTTCAAAATGAAAATTTTTAGTATGAGACAATTTAAAAATTATCTGAAGCATAATCTTTTTACTTCATCTTTTTACTCTTATGTTCTTTTTCTCCTTACCTTTGTGTTCATTAAAGTCATATGCAAATATATTTACTTTTTGAATACATTTATTTATTTAAATGTGTAGAGCATATTTGTGTAAAACATTGTAAATTTTTATCAGTGATTGTGACAGTTACAGAAATTTATATTTTATTTCTTCATAGATTGAAAAGCAGTCAAAATCTGCTGATGGACTTTTCTGCTTTTCCTCAAACAGTTATACATTTTCTTGAGCTTTGTCTGAATGAAGCAAAAGAATCTCAACCAAAGTAAATCTAAATTATTTAATTTTAGTGATAGAGCAATTGTGTCTTTGATAATCTTTTTCGTTGTTTTTTACCTCCCAAGCATTGAGCCACTTGAATAATTTATGCTGAAATTTCCCTGTAACCCACCTCTTCCTATGTGGGAAAAATTGGTTTCTTTAACGTTGGAAAGTTTGCAGTGCAAAGTTGGGGGGGGGGGACAAACTAATGCTCAAAGTTTAATGCAAGATTTGCAATAAATTTCTTACTTTTTTTAAAATTCATATTTCGAAAAACATTTTGAATGGTCTATAGCTTTATTATTCCTTTATATTATTGTAGAATTCATTTATAATATGTAATATAAATTTATATATATTTATGTTATGTGGCTCCAAAATCTCAGTTATATCTCTAAGTTGGATCAAATATGCAATATTGCCCTTGTAAAAATATGTACTGTGTGACAATCTGCAAATAGATATTGTATGCGCCGCTTACGTTACTCAACAAATTACATTTAGTTTAAATTGAATATTATTTTTATTTATATCTTGTAATAATAGTACAGCATGTCACAAAACAGCCAAGTCAGTGGCAGGATTTCTGTTAGTAATTTGTATTTCTTTAAAGTTTAAAATTAATTGTCTGCCATTTATTTTATTTCATACTGTGTGGCATCAACGTTCTTTAAATTATCATGTCATATAGATACTGCAGCCACTCGGATCAGTTCTTGCTTGTTCTGTGCTACTGCTTACCCTGATAATTTATGTAACTGCCGAATATGATGTACACTTTGTTTACCAACAGAACCGATTGCTAGGTGGAAATGATGAGTGCAGGTGATTCAGTGATGTACTTTTGTGTCATGTTTCCTGCTTAAACTGTGAAGGTTAAAAACATAGCTGCCAACTCTATTGCATAAAAATCGAGAGACTCCAGAATTTTGGTGAGAATTACCTGGACATCCGGAGAGAAAAAAATTTATTCAATTCTTTTGAATTTTTGAAATTTGTTTTTTAAATATCTGCATAACTACTAAGCTTTTTGAAAAATATTTTATAGACTAGGTAGACTTTCAAAGTNAACACTGTCTTTTAACTTTTAAAATCAATATATATAGATAAAAAAAATTAGTTGATTTAAATCAATGATTTTTTTTAAAAAATCATTTGATTTAAATCAACGAACCCTGGAGAGAACTGGGACAAAGTGATGATAAATTTCTGAACTTGCAGTGGTGTGAAGAATAAATCAAATATATATACGAGTACAAGAATCATATAATAAAAAGGTTGATTTTACTACCACATGAAGAAACTTTCCCACAAAGCATAGAAAGTTGGCATCCTTACATCCAAATGATTTATCTTATTGTTCAAAGAGGAAACTGATCAAAAAAAGATCTTGTAATGCTTTATTACCTCACGGTACCTGTTTTGCAGACCAGTTTATTACTTTTTTCTCTCTTTCTCACTTTTCCACTCTTCATGCATGTCTTTTTTGGTTTATCTTTATCATTTAATTTGTAATAAGAAAGAAGAGTCCCTTGCTATCCCTTTTATGCCATAACTGCAAGATTTCTCTTGTATGCTGTAAATCTCACCGTTTGCAAAATCACCCTATTTTTTATTCTCAAATGTTTGTGTGTTAACAACAGTGAATCACTGTTTTATCTACAATTTAGCACTGTCATATTTCGGGTTGATTTGTGAATGTCAACGAAAGCTACCTTTATCTGTGAATCTATACTATGAGTTATGTGAATTACTTCATTCGTGACTCACTTTACTTGAGTTACTGAAAAATAAAGGTTAAATTCAAAGCCCCAAATTCTAGTTTGATTCTAAATATGTGGCATGTCGTAACAATAGATTAGTTCATACTAAAAAGCTTTTTAATTAGAAACTTACAAGCACCTAGTAATTACGTTTTTGGACATAGTTAAAACAATGATATATTCTTCTTTTTTTATATAGTTGTTTAGTTGCTTTAGTTATTTTAAATACTTCACGAAATAGTCCTGTTAATGTATTTTCCTATTTTTATCCATTAGCTATCTATTACACCTAATCAAAGGAGAAAGAGTTGGAAATATTCCTCCAAGTGCTCAGCTAGATATTGAACAATCATCTGTTTTTAGACAAGTATCACTTTTATCACTTAAGTTTTTCGCTGCAACAGATTCAACTATCACACAACATGTGACTATTGGCTTCAGAAACTTGAAGGTATAGAATTTTTTTCTTGCTAAACGTTTCCTGTAAGTTTACGTACAATATATGAGCCTTCTAATCCCAGTTGCCATGGCCCCTAGTATTTTAGTAAAATGGAAACTGAAATCAGACTATTTTCTGATATCAGTTTTTAAAACTGAAATCAGACTGTTTTTGATGGTTAAAAATTGGTTTTTGCTCTAAACAGTTGCGAATGCTTGTAGATTCTTGTGTATGTGTATACACACACACATATATATATATGTATATCAGTATGACGATCATTGTTGCCTTGAAATATGTATGGAATTCACAAAATAGTAAGGGAAAAGGTTGGTTTTTTTTTGCATTGATTTCCACGCATTTAAAAAAAATTGTTGTGCTAATTTTGTTGTTCTACTTGTGGAATGGTATTCAAATGCGTAGTATTCAAAAGGAATGACTGAAAGTGTCTGATCCGAAAATTTTTAAGTTTAAATTTCAAATTTACATGTTGTGCTGTCCTGTGTCCATGTACTGTTAGTATGATTGTTAATAAAACATTCTCCTTTAGAATTGACTTTATTTAAAATGTTATAATTTTCAGATTTCAATAATATTTTGTTAGCTATTACTTTTTCTGTTTTGCATTTTTTTATTTTGTTTCCGCATTTTAATGACTATGTTAAATCTATTTAATAATATTGTTTAAGTTTTTTTTTTTCATTTAATTTTAATAAATACTAATCTTGGATCATTATCGGGTAATGCACCTAATTAGTTTAAAAATGTTATAGATGATAATTAATATTTTTTTATATGTATTTGATAACATGAATTATGTAATTATAAAGTTCAATTTCTTTTCTCTAGTTTGACTACCACATTAAATTTTTGGGCAGCTAAATGAATACACAGGGTGCGTAGCGTTTTTGAAAAGTGCTGAAAGGTGCTTATTTTCAATTTTTGTTTTTTAAAAGCCCTAAAAGGTGCTTTTTTCCATGGATGTTTTTTAAAAGTGCTTAATTTTCCCTTTTCCGAAATGTCATATTTTTCTTTAACACTTTTTTTTTTTGCCACAGTTTATTAAAAAAGACATTGTCCTATTGAACGTTTTCACAATTAATTCAACCCCAATCTATTTCTGCGTACCGCCAGTCTGTAGTGTATGAAAGCACCATTTGTTTTACATGTTTGATCCGCACTTCCGTATACTGAGCTGGATTCAGTGGTAAGGATTTTTTGCTCTCATGTGCAACCCTGCTGCATTTTGCAAGGGATTCTCAATTTCAGACTTCATTTTCCGCCCTCTGTAATAGAATCGAAAAATCTCTCTAATTTTTGCTGATTACGGGGACCAACTAAACATTGTCAATTTTTTTTTTCTATTGGTGATAAAAAATTTCATTTCTCTTGTTAATTTCATCAATTGTGACCTGCCATCGTCTTCATCACTGTCAGAAACCAGACCTGTAAAACCAGATCAATTGTCAAAAACTTGCCAACCTAGCCTAATTATAATATTTTTCAAAGTGCTTAAAAATATTTTTTGAATACTTGAAAAATGCTTAAAAGGTGCTTATTTTTTTATAAAAAATTTGGCTACACACCCTGATACATAGGTGGTCTTATTGGACCGCTTAATTTTCATTATTGGTGTGTACTATACATATATATATATATTTAAATTATTTATTATTTTATATTTTTATCTAATGTTAATGTTACATTTATTCTTTGCATTTCCTTCTTATGTGATATGTTCATATTGAATACTTTTGTGGCTACTTTTTCAGGAAGAAAATCAGAGATTACAGAACCAATTGTGCCACCTTGAAAATAATTTTAGGGCAAAAGTATCAGATCTAGAATCAGCATTAGAAAAGAAGTCACAAGAACTTGAAAATGTTAAAAGAGAACTAAATGCTGAAATAGACAAAAGAGAGAGTTGGCATTCTCAAATGCTGAGGGAGGAAAGAGAGAAACTTTTAAATGTATGAACTTTTTCTTTGTTTTAATTCCTTTCTTATAAAGTGGCTGCCAGAAACCCTCCAGCACAGCAACAGGGGCTGCAAATTATTGCAGCATCAAGAAATTATTTTTCTTCTACATTATATATATTATTATACATGCAAATGAGGAGGGATTGCAAAGACTCCTTTTTAAAACATCTCTGAACTAGTTCCAGATGAAATTAAAGAAGCTGAACACCACAATATTAGCAAAAAGCAAATTTTTTTCTGTTACTTGATAGCAGACTTAACTGTATAGAGATTAATCAATTTAGTTTCATTGTGTAAAAATGTATTTAAATTTAAACAATAAGAAGTTTTTATATGTAATTTTTTAGGACCTTAAATTTGAAAATGTTATGGCATGTATCTGTGAACTGAATTATTAGCGTCATAATATCTTTCTGACTATTGAGGTCGCAGGCAAACTAGCGTAGCAGATTTTCACCAGAAATTCTACTTCCAGGGCTGCCTAATAGTTTTTCCTGTATACTACTAGGTTTTAAAAGTCTTTTTTAGTATCTTAAATTTTTTTAAAAAAATTGAATAATTTTTTTTTTTTTTTAATATTTTAGAAAAATAGCTTAAATTGAAAAGGGTCTTGAAAACATTTTCTTGGTGTATGTTTTTCTCTGCTTACTAATTCGTCGAGAGCAACTTCATTTGATAAAATACATTGTTATTTATTGTTTTATGTAATTTGTGGATTGAATGGAATGTAATGTGTGCATTGAATGGAAAACTTGAAAATATCGATAAAATGTGCTAGCAAAATATATTTTTCTTATATCGATATCACACTATTTCTTATGGTATTTAAATAAACAACACAAATGCTAAACCAATAATAATGCAATATGTTTAGAGCTCTTTTATTATAGATAAAAATTAACTGGATGAAGTTCTATCGATTTCTCATCATAGGGTCCAAATTTCAGAAATCAAAAAATAAATATTTTGCATTTTCCTTCTTCTTTTTAAAAAAAAAATTTAGGTGAGCAGCAAATATACAAAAAAATTTGATTACTGTTTCTGTACTACAAATAATTATTTTATTAACTTTTCTAAAAACTGATTCATTCATGCATTAATTCACTAATACCCTTTTTTCTCGTGTCCTTCCCTTTTATTCACTTGCTATATCAGAGAATTATTCACAATCATTTTTACCATAAAATTACAAATCCATTATAACATGCTTTTAAAATATTTTTCAATATACCATGTATAAAAGAAATTAAATTTAATATGAAAATAAAAAATATTCTAAAAGATTACTTAACAAAAATGTTTAAAAACTTACTTAACTAAATAAAAATTATAAAAACCAAGATTTTCTCTTCCCAGATTAAGGTAGATATATAAACTTTTTAAAAAGGGATATTTTGTTGAAATCATTAAACCCACTTAAACTTTGTGCAAAAATTAAACAAATTTATACTAATTTTGTTTTATAAATTTGCATATTTTCAAGAAACTTTTTATTATTGCAATCAGTTAAAATATTTGTTTCTTCATGAGCTTACATATTTGTATATCTGATAGTAATTCACTATTTTATTAATTTATTTTTCACAATTTTAGAAACAAAGAGAAGGTGAGAATAGACTTGAAAGTGAAAGAATTGACAGAGAAACGAAACTGAAAAGGGACATAGAACACTTGGAAGCTAGAGTGTCATGTTTAGAGAGATTAAATAAAGTAAGTATTCTTTTATTAAAATTTCATTTTGAAAAAAATATTCAGCAAAAATAAATATATTGAATTTTAATTCACAACTTAAATATATCCAACATGGACTAGCTTTAATTAGGATGATGGAGCCTTATAAAGTAGTCATTATAATTCCATATTTATTTAAAAAAAATAATTAAATGTTGCATGAGGTGCATTTTTTAATGAGAAAGTGGCTATAGGTAGCAACTAGGAAGCAATATTTTTAATCCCTATATATTGTTATATTTAGTGGCTTGTGACAAACTTTACTTTTGCCCTATGACATGTCCAACTACGATCATGTAATTAGTTTTAAATAGAAGTTTAAACTGGAATTTGTTTATGAAAACTTCTGTTATTGACTTAACCCTTTCGTTAAATTATAAATACTCTTATTCTCCACTTACAGGAATTAGAAAATAAGAAAACAGAATTAGAACGCCAGTTGAGTGCTCTGCGTAGTCATAATCTGTCTGTTGAAACTGATTTGAGATTAAAAAGTGAGGCACTGACCAATGCAGAAAGGAAGAATTCTGAACTCATTGCTGATTTCAAGGAATCGAGTGGGCGCATAAATCACTTGATGGGCAATATCAAAGATCTAAATGAAACTTTAAAGCGCAAAGAGAAACAAATAGATGGCTTACAAAGAGATCTAGATAATTCTAAGAAGGAAAAGGTAATGTTTTGATAATTATTTATTCTCAGAAATTGAATTGTATGTTATTGTTTGTTTTTTTTCCTACATAGTTGTTTTGTTTACAATTCTGCTTTTTTTTTGCTCTTAGAAAAAAATAGCAAGTGGCTTAAGTGCTGCAGAAGAGCAGTTGGATAAAGAAAAGAAAGCAAGAAAAGAAGTGGAACATGAGCATCTCAAAGCAATTCAGATTATTGCAAAGTATCAAGACACGGTATGTGAGGAGACTGATAAGGTAGTCTAATTTAATCTAGAGTCTAACATGCTCTATTATTTTTTATTTACTTTTTTAAACTTTACTTTTTTTTACTTTACTAAAGATTTTAGTTGAATGAAACAGTTACTCATTGAATAAAATTTAATTTTCATGAGACCAATTCGATCTTTCTAAAGGGAATTTAAACAGGCAATCAACTGGTTTGCTGTTTCAAATCACTAAAATTTTCCTGGAAATAAAATTATTAACACATGTACTACCTATCTTGAACTAATCAGTGGTATTTTTTAGTAGTCGGTGATATTTTTTAGAGTAGCGTCTGCTGACTTGAGATCTGCAGAAAGTCCATTAATGATTGAAAAGTTTGTGCAAGACCATGCTCAGGGGAGGGGAAGAAACAGTGACAATTGCCCCTAAAGGAGACCCGGTTGAATTTATTCACAAGAATTGAAATTATGGTTTTATTAATTGCAGAAGGCTTTTTTTTTATATGTGTTTGCAATGTTCTACAATTTTTTAATGAAAAAATTCTTCAGATTTATTTTTTAAAAAATTTTTTAATTATGTTCTTCAGTTGATCTTTTGAGCATGAGAAGTCTGCAGTACAATGCAAATATGAACTATCTCCAGGAGTGGAGATCATCTTGAAGTAAGGAGAACTATGAGCATCTTTGAGGGCCAAACAGTTCCATAGATGCCCGCCATTCATGTCTGCGTGTTCCTCACACAAAATTCAGTTGGGGTGTCAGCAAGTTTAATATGATGCAAGTGTGTTTGAAGGTAGTCATGTCCAGTGAGCAATGGGAAGGATGAGACTCCAATAGCTCTAGGAAGCGTTTTTGTGAGACAAGATGTTAGAAAGCCCTCCCACGATTTACCAACAGTTTCATCTCTGTTGGAGGTTGCTCGGTGGCTTTGAATTTTTTGTTTGATTTGGATTTTGACGTTTCTCAGTTAGTGGGGACACATGGGGGTCCAAGCAGGATGCCTCTTTGGCGAGATTATCTGCATTTTCATTTCCCCATAAAAAAACATCTGGGCTCTCATAAGCAATATCTGGGAATTGATTGAAGTATTCTTTTCTTACCCGTTGATAGTAGAGCGTTAATAGCAGTTTTACTATTGAATTCAATGGCTGTAGGTTGAGGAGCATAATTTGAGATAGTGTGTATTGCAGCATGACAATCAAAGAAAAAAGACAAAATTCTTCTCTGGTGTCTGCAAGATCTTCTTAAGAGCCAGGTAAATGACAAAAATTTAGCTGAGTTAGGACTGAGTTATTGAAATTATCTGAGTTAAGACTCAAAGGCTCTTTAAGTTGAAAAAGTCTGAAGAAAGAAACACTAGCTCCGGCTCGTCCAGTTGTTTGCTCAGCTGAGCTATCTGTGCAGATGTGTACCCAATTGTTGCTAGGGTATCTTTCATTGATGGTGGCAAAAGCTTTGAGTCCAGCTGATTCAATAAATATAAAAAATAGCAAACAATTTGTTTTTATTTAAAATGATTAAGAAATTATAAATTAATGTTTTAGTATATTTATGAAAACTGATAATTCAAGAATCAAAGGTAAACCATTGTTTCAGAAAGTCTTCATGAAAAAGTTTACAAAGTATGAAAATTTAACTTATTGTGTTTTGTTGGGATGAACCCGTAGCGGATTTTGTCTTGGGGCCTATAAATCCTGTGCCCTCCATTCAGTTTGTGTATTTTGATGGGGAGTTTTTATGTATGTATATGTTGCTCAAAATTTATAACAATTCTGAATTTTATAATATTACTCTAAAGAGCCACAAAAGTATTTATTTTTTTCCTAACTATTTTAAAATTACAAGAGCTGCTGCTTTTATTTGCTCCGAAACTAATTTAGATTTCTGATCAACACTTTTACAAAATACTAAACACCCAACTGTTTCAATGATACTGAATAACTTTATTTCATATTTTCAATGATACTGAATAACTTCATATAAATTAATTGTTGCCAATTTTACTTTTCTTTGGATTTTTTTATTCATATCGGAGAATATTGTTTTATTTTTAAATGTATTGTTTTCTTAACTTAAAGCTTTTACTTTTGACAGAACAAAGCATTAATCAAAAAAACAACCAAGCTTGAAGGAACTTCTAATAAGCAAGAGCAAGAAATTCAGTATCTTGAAAACGAACTTAAAAGAGAAAGTAACACAAATCAGAGACTAGCTATAGAAGTGAGTATTTAAATTTTATTACAATGCGCAATTCGTTACGTATTTCATTTTATTTATTTATTTAATAATGAACTTATCTACTTTTTTTAGATGTGCTTTTCCAAGCATAAAAAATTTAAAACCGATAGTATAACCAGGGTTTTCGGGCTCAAGCTGAGCTAAAATGAAAAGAAATACCAGCTTAAAAAAAAGAAAGCAACCTTTTTTTTAAACTGAGATAATACAAAAGAAGCACTATATTGGTAAATATTCAAAGAGGCTTGATTGGATATTATGGACAAAATTGAACAGCAGCTTTGTGCTTTCAAATCATCTAGGTTTAAAGAACCAACTTAAATTTTAATTAATTTCCCGTCTGTAGAAACCAAATAAATTTTTAATATTATTTTGGATAAATTTTATAGTTATGTAAAAAATTCTTGATCCCTGATCAGTAAAAAAAAAAGAAGAAAACTAGCGTGTGAAAACCATGGCTTGCCATAAATCCTAAAGTCTACGCAGAGGAGAAGTCACTTAGAAAAGGGTTTATTCTTATAGCTTGGAAGGCAGGGACTTCATTTTTTATCCAAGGCGATTTTGAAAACATTGTGCTTAGCATTTTTAAAAAGTGCTTATGGGTGCTTATTTTCGTTTCATGGGGTATTTTTAAAAAGTGCCTAGTTTTCCCTTTTCGAAAATGGGATTTTTTTTTCTTTACAGGGTATCTGTGCACTTGAAAAGTCACGAAAAATCATGGAAAGTCATAAGTTTCGGTATTGAACAAAATTTGTCGTGATTTTACCTATTTTTAAAAAAAAAAAATCATGGATTTAGGTCGTCAAAAAATCTAATTTTTAAAGTGGAATCCCCCCCCCCATTCCATGATGTTCCGAATATCTGAATTCGTAGCAAAATCCCCACGCACAATCATATTTGATTAAAATATAAAATGTCTATCATGTTCTTTAAAATTTATGTTCTTTCAAAAAATAAACGAAAAAACATAATTTCTAGAGCGAATTATCTTTTCAACTTCTGTGATTTCAGAATTTTTGATATTACTTATTTTATTTTATCAATTTAAAATTCTAGCTGAAGCAAGCTAGTCATTGGCAAATTTTTTTTATTCCAAAATGAGAACAGAAAAATCTAGAGTACTTTTTTCCTTTACTATAAACAAGAAAAGTATCTTTAGAATATAATTCTGCTGAAAAAAAAAGAAGAAAAAATTATTTGCTTTTGCATTTTTTTTCCAGCTATTTTATTGCTTTAACTCTTTCATTACACTGTTGTTTAAATTTAAGATCTAAAAATATGAAGATGCGGAGTGTACCAGTTTTGGTTATACCTATCATTTCAATTAATGTTATTATAATGCTTTTTTTAATTTATTGTTGTGTTTTTTTTTCAGAAAAAATAGTAACGTTGTTAAGTCATGAAAAAATTCTTGAAATCAGTCATGAATTTGAAAATCTAATATGTAGCAGATACCCTGTCTTCACCATGTTGATTTTCACTGCGTATTTTGCAAAAGCATTGTTTTCACATTGTTCTATTCAACATTTTACATGATGAAATACTTGGGAATCCGCATGTGCGTCTACTGGGCTTGGTTCACTGAGATTCTTACACTCTCGTGTGCAACTCTGCTGTATTTTGCAATATATTCCCAATTTCAGACTTCATTTTCCACGCTGTGAAATCGAACAGGAAAATGTTGGCTAGTATAATCAAGAAAAGGGTTCTTTTTGTCAGAAAGTAGTTATTTTATCATGATCATGTAAAGTCTTTGAAAATTATTTTGCATTTTGTTAATTTATATAGTGCTGAAAAATATTTTTGAGTGCTTAAAAAGTACTTAGAAGGTACTTATTTTTGCTGAAAGATTTGGCTATGCACCCTGGAAAAGCACCACACCATTAACAGGCCAGTTTTTTGCACAAAAATCGGCACTCTCACCTGTTGCATCACTATTTTATGACTTCACCACTGTACATAAGCGTAGCACATAATCAGTGCTAATTATTAAAAGCAGTTTCATTTGAATTCTGAATTTTTTTTTATCTCGGAAGACCAATATATTATTTTGTATATTGCTTACAGATATCTAGATATTGTTTGCATATTCTGTATATTGAACGTTTTAGAATCAGAGATCATTCAGAGTGCGTGTAATTATATACTTAAGTTTCTGTTTTCAAAACTTGGGGTAATTGCAACCGAAGGAAAAATAATTTCAGTTATAGTTGTGAGTTTAAAGCATCTATTTATTATAACTTAAGCGTAAATGCTTATATTAGCATTTTCTCTTTTACATTAAAGTATTTGATGTATGCATTTAACAGATCAAATTCAAAACTAAAACCCTTTGAATTTTGTTGGTTGTTGTCTATCGTTGTTTTAAAATCTTTATAATTAAAAATGTTGTATGTGACACATTTTTTTAAAAAAAATAATCAGTAACACAACCATAAATTTGTTCCATTTTTTAATGAAAATTAAGAATATAGATGTTTATCAAAACAATTATTTGCAGCATTTATTGTGAATTTGGCCTTATAGAAGGTCTATCCATTACCACCCTTTATTAATGTCTTTAGAATCCTTTTAGACTTTAAGTCGTGATGAATTAATTGGCAAGGTAAAAGCGCATGAACGATTATTTGAATTATAGAAAAGAAATAACTTTGCATTTTCAATTTAATCTCCTTACAAGCATAAAATAAAAAAAATTTGATTTTAAAAAAAAATTAAACTTATGTTTGTTTTATTTTCAACTTTCAGATAGAGCAGATTAGAGTGTATCAAGAAACTATAGGTAAACTTGAAGGAGAAAATCGAAAACTTAACTTGTGTGAGTTGTAATTTTTGTTTTATTTATTATAATATGTTAAATGTAATTTAATTACAGTAAAAGGGAATTATATTTATATAAAGGATTATATTCACCTATTAATAAGAATTTATTTTTCAGATAATAGTGAAATTACCAAGCTGTTACACGAGAATAATCTAATTCTTGAATATAGGCCTCCTCCATGCTTTGCAGAAAACTTTCCTATTTGTGAAGTAGTTAAATTTTTCTTTACATTCTCTTATATCTGTATGTATCTGTAAACTATCGCCTTTCTTTTCTTTTTTTTTTTTGCAAAAATTTGAACAAAAAAATTTTTTTTTCATTTTCTAAAAAGAATTACTTGTTTTAATGCTTTAAAAGAATGCATAGACTATACAAACCAAAAATTAAAGAAAAATATAGTAAATTTTGTAATATATCTTTAAGAAATTCTTGATATGTATGAAAACAAAATTATGCAAATATATGTAAAAACTAACTAAATCTTGATGCAGATAGTTCCTTCATAGATTTGTGTAAATTTTNATGTGTACATTTTGCATGAAAAGGAAAACTCTCCTCTACCATTCAGTGCTGCTCAGTCAAAATCAATACCAAGGTGTGCTTTATATATATGTAACATAAAAAGCTTCAATTTATTCTTTTTATGTTAGCTCTTTTCTGAATATTCTTTTATTTTATTATCCTAATCGAAATACTTTCTCACACTTTTAAAAGCTACATCCTGTCCTTAAATCTATTTTTGGCACAAGTATGCATTTAATTAAAAGCAGGGCATTTTTCCCTTTAATCTTCGCGGGAATCACTCGACCTATTTCATAAACCAATAGTAATTTCTAAGAATTCCCTCTTTTCCCTAAATAGAGACATCTACGGATTTTACTTTGCAAGATTTTCCCTGACATATAACCGAGGAGTGCAACTTTTCGTGTACTTTTTCATGACTGCTATGTCAAATAAATTTTGCACCCTCCTTTCCTAAGACCTGTTTTATTCCTTTCACTAGGCAACAACGTTATATATATACTTAATTTAATAATTACTTGATACTTCTTAGCTTGAGTAATGAAAGTTTAACTTAAATAAGTTTTTTTGATTAGAAACAATGTTTTAAGATCAAAATTTTTTAAAAAACATATTTATATATTGCTCTAGTCTGCATTTTTTTATCTTTACATAATACAAAATATTTTACATTCTGTTTCATTTTAACGATTTCCAAATTATTTAGTTCAGAGTTTGAACTTTATTAATGTATGGTATTTTCTGAATTCGGCATCATTGCAGTTATTCATCAATTTAATTTCCAGTCCATTTTGAACCAATTTGACTTGACTAGTTCACTGTTTTTATCTCTGATTTTATGACTCATAACATTTCTTGTTAAATTTTAAAAAATTTCTGGAGGGGAGATGCAATTTATGTATGGCATATTTTAGTTTTGAAATTATCAATACAAATAACCGTTCATGCGAATGACTATTAAACCAAGGAAGTTTTTGTCGACTCATTTTTTATTTCAAATAACTAAGCATACATATTATACTGAATAATAAAGAAGTATTAGAGATTTGCTAAAAATAAACATTTTTATCTTTCAAACTTCTTTTTTCTCTTTTGTTTAAGGAAGAAAATGATTGGATATCCTCTAATTTCTGATGACTTGCGTAAAAGTCGCAAAAACTAACTAAGTATGAATTAAAAATTAGTGTCAAGTAAGCTTCAAGTTAGATCTTAAGAGATAATTTTGTAAAATTCAGTTATCAAAGAAGTTATTTTCACTTTTTGCTAACAATAAAAATATTTAGACTTTCGGATTTTTTATTATTTTTTTTTCTTTCTGAAAATTTAAAATTAATCAAAATGTGTTACAAAAGCATGTACGATTGTAAGTTGTGAATTGACGGCTCTAAAGAATTTTTTTTTATGATATTCGACATTCGAGTTTTCAAAAATTCAGTGTCTTGTAGCCAGAATAATTTTTAAATAGTTCATTACAAAGCAAGTAAGAAGCATTTAAAAATTTAGGTGTTATGGCAAACTGTTCCCCACCCCTAGAATTTTTTTTTATTTAAATTTGATGTTTATATTATACACCAAAGGGAACCTAAATATTGCTTAATAGGAACAACTGCTCAAATTGCTCCAAAAGGAAATATCTGAACCAGCAGTTTTTTGCCAAAATTGAACCAAGCTGCTCTAAATTCTAATATTACTTGAGTAAAATGCAATATCACCAATGGTACTATTATGATCGCCAGTGGTACTGATGGTGGTAATTTTGGCAATCAGTACTGATTGCCCTTGTCGCAGAATTATTTCGGGCTTTCTGTGTCAAAACTCTCTAGCACTAATATCTTTCTGCAAGATACTTTCAATAATAACAAAGATGTATGTTACTAATTCAAGGTAACAATAGCATTGTGTTTACAAAATCAAGATAATTTTTTATTTGAATATGTAATATTTTTCTCATTCTAATATTATGGGCGATATTTGCGCATTTTTCAAATCATCATCACTTTAAAATATAATTGAATATAATGAAATTTGTGGCAGTAATTACCGAAAAACAGATTGACGACGAAATCATGCTAAACGTACTCTTCAGAGAGGGGTTACTCAAATGCATGTTTCGTTCAAGATTTGATTGTTGTTATAAATAATCTCATAGAAAAAGTATATAGTTTTAGAAACTATGTGGAAATCAAAAGCAATATCTGCCAAAAAAAAATCTATATAATCATTGCCTTAAAAAGTAAATGATCAAATGCACAATTTGAATTTCCCATATCTAAAAGCCATTTGAAAATCACTGTCAATAAATGTGGAAAATACAATTGAAATAGATTTACGATAGCAGCAAAAATTGAGCGCTTCAAAAAGTATTTAATTAAAAGCGCGATTGAAATTTTATGTGTACATTTCTGCAGAAAAGTAAACAAATTTTTTTACTTCCCAAAAGGAAAATCTTCCTGCAAAAACTCTGTAAAGTTCTGCTACAATGTCGCCATGTCGCTGCAATTTTACCATTGGGTTGATTGAAACAAAAAAAATTAGCTATGTGTATCTACTAAATAGCAAAATTAATTTAGAAAAGGTACTTATTATGTTAGGAGAACTATAAAGAACTGACGTACCATTTTTTATGTCAATGATGCTTACTTAATTAAGCTAAGTACTAATTGAAATTTGAAAGAAAAAAATCTATGTACAGAAAAGTAAAGTTAATGGAGAAATTGCTATTATTATCGCCAATGATAATTAATTTTAGTATTACATCACTATTGGTAACTGCTGCACTCTTTATATGTAGCAAGTCTATTAATTCAGGTATAAAGTATTATATCTATATATTTGATTCTTATTAAAACCGCATCAATACTGTGAGCAACTTTATTGGAGAGATGTGTTTTCACTGCCCCTCTTAAAGAATAAGTACTGGAATAAAATGTTTGAAATTGGTTAATTTTGAGTATCATTGAGTGGGCTTCAAGCGACAGCAATCTGCCAAATACTGAATCAATTAATGAGCATAAAAGCACACAAAAACGAGATAACAGTTGACATGTTTGAAGGGCATCCAAAATAGGCTCCATTGATGGATTGAATATAACGAAATAAAAATGATTTGAAAAAATTTTAAGTTACCAACGAACAATGGAAAAACAAAGATAAAGAACAAAAACTAGAAAAACCAGAGGAGGCGATAGAGAAAAAAGATGAAACACCGAACAAAAAAAAAGAAGGCACAAACAGTGGCTAAAAGGCAAATCAGGGTAAAATGCATTTCCTTGCGCTATGGTAAGATGGGGTGGAATTAATGTCGTTAACGAGAGAAATTGAATGCTGATTACCTTGTTAACGACGTTAGTTCTTCCTCGCATCTCCATAACGCATGGAAATACATTTTACCTTGATTTGCCTCCAGGAGACTTTTTTTCCCTATATTTCATCTTTTTTCTCATTGGCCTTTTTTTCTAATTTTTGTTTCTTACCTTTATTTTTTCCATTTTTCGTTAGCAACTTTTTGCTTTTTTCCGAATCATTTTTGCTTTGCTATATTCACAATCACATCTGTCAAGTCTTGAAAAGAGACAACTATTTTTGATGCTCTTTGAACATGTCGACTGTCATCTAATTTTTGAAGAGTACGAAGTTTACAATTGTAGTTAGTAGAAGTAATATGCAGGGGTCGCATTCCCCCTAAAATTCATAAAATTCCTAAAAGTATGTGCAAACCCTAAAATTCCTAAAAATCTGATAAAATTTTGTTGGTGTTCCTAAAAAATTAGAGTTATAGGCTAAATATAAATAAAAAAGCAATAATCTAAAATATAAGAATTTAACTACATTAATTAAAACTGTTTTAATTTTGCCACATGGGAATTCTGATCCTGAGAGAGGTTTTTCGATAAATAAAGCAATGCTTAATGTGAGTCACCATGAGTATACTATTATGTCGCTTAGACTAATCAAAGATACCATTCGAAATTATGGAGGAGTGTTGAAGATCACCACAACACTATTGAGGGCAGTAAAAGAATCTCACAAATCATATCAAGAATATTTTAGAAAAATGATCATGATTAATTTGTTTTTCTCTAACTTCTAATATAAATTGCTGATTTGAAATCTAATAATATCACACAATAGTTTTTCTTAATAAAGTAAGGTAATAATAAAATTTTGATTAAGAAGGTAAAAATTAAATAAAAATCCAAGTTGGTGTTAATTTATTTTTTCTCTTGATTTATTCTCACTTTTGCCTGTTCCTGAATTATGCACTTAATTTCTGATAGGTAATATGTAAAGTTGAAATTTCATTTTTACACTTAGAGATTTCATTCTTGACTTAATAAATTTCAGAGCTTTATTTTATGGCTTGCAATTATTTATGATATGTGTGGATGAATTGTAATAATCTTCTGTTATGTAATAAACTACCGTGTGATCTGTTTTTATCCTAGCAAAATCATATATTACCCCTAAAATTTACCTAAAATTTTTTGAAAAAAGTTCCTAAAATTACCCTAAAATTTTAAAAAACTTTGCTGCTACCCCTGAATATGTCATATCTATGCTAGTTTACAAGCATATAACTAATAAATAATTTGTAATATGTTTTTAAGCTGACATAAGTGCAAGTTTTTTTTTTTATTTAATCTTAAAGTTATATATACTTTCATTTCTATATTTCATATTTGAAAAAAAAAGTCATTGAAACAAGAATTCCATATGACAAAATGTTGATTATCTCTTAACCATTCAAAAAAATTAGCAGAATTTTTATAATTTTCCATTTAGTGATTGGTATGTGTGACTCTTGTAGATTTTTTTGTGTGATGAACAGTTAAATTATTCACTAAAAAATTAAATTCAGCTTTAATGATTATTGTTATGATTTTCTCAGACTCAACATTTCTTTTCTTAAAAATAGATTACAACCGGAGACAAGACAAAATGGAACGAATCTGCCTGGATATTCCACCAACTTGCCAGTTTACAACTGCAATAGTCTGCAATCAGAAACAAGACAAATGAATATGGGTGTTTCTAGAAATTTAGCTGACTCTACTCCACAAGCTTTAAATGCCAAAGTCTCTACTATTATTGCAAGTGATAACAATGCAAATCAATCTAACTTAGAAATAAATTCCAATGGTTTGAGCTCTGAATTTCAAGATCTTAATATCTCAAAACATAGCACTGCAAGAAAGCAAACTAAATCTGTAAAATCACGTCTTCCCAGAAAGAATTAATTTCTCTATATTTGAATAAATTATTTTGAATTTTTCCAGTTCCAGGTATGTTTGTTATTTGTATAATGTAAATAATGTGTTATTTTTTTGAAGAAGAAAAAATTTTATTAATTGTATATATTTTATATGAGATTTCTTTTTATTGTAAAAATAAAAGATATATTCTGTGAATACTTAATAATTGTTGTTTATTTTCATTTCAAACTTTTTAAATGCTTTAGAACACTGCTTGTTAAGTTTTAACCTGGTTAGAAACTTTTTTGAATAATTTTTTTTTCTGTGATTTGTTAGCGTATATCTATCTATTTTTTTAAAAAATGTTTACTCTTTTCATACATTTAATGAAAATAAATATTTCTTTTTCCCACACAATTCAATAAAACAGTTGTGAATAGATTCTGTTTTAACATTCAATACTTAATCAGTCTCAAGAAGTACAGGTACTTTTTCATCAAATGTTTCATAAATATTATTTGTGAAACAAAAGTTATGTAGAGAAATGTGAAATGAATTTATCCTTAAACTCCCAAAAGTTAATGCTAGACGAAACTAAAAGTAGTTTTAATATTTTTAACATGATTTTAAAGATTAGTTATTTATCACTGGAGTTCAAATTAAACTGTAAATGTCCTTATAAAGCAAGATTTATTATTTTTGAGTAAAAATGTTAACCACTTCTGTATAAACTCATTTTTTCATATATCTCAAAAATACTCAGAGTTATTTTATAACTTTAGGTCATGTGATCTCTCATACATATCAATAAAGTTTAAAGGTGTGAGAGACCGCCAATAAATTTTTAACGAAAGACTTTTTATACACCCTATGCCAAAAAAACTGCAGCGATATGTTGCAACTTGTATAAATTATTTTGGTTAGCCTATTCATCAACTGCATTAAATTTTGTAAATTTAGGAAATTTAAACATTTTCATAGAAATATTTTTTTTAAAAAAATTTATTTATATGTATACATTTTTTCCCCTTAGTTTTCTTACTGTAACGGCAGAAGTTTTCAATAAAATTAAGCAAACTTTCAAGAGTAATTTTTAAATAATAATTAAAAATAATTTTTAAAAAATTCATTAGAATACTATATTATTGTAATTGTTCTATTAAATAAGATTTATTAAAAATAACATGCATTATATAGGGCCATTCCTATTTTGACACAGGCGATTGAATGCAACTATAGTCAAATCCCGCTATAGTGAACCTTCAAGGGACCGAATTTTTGGTTCACTGTAACCGGGAGTTCACTATATCCGTTACGCAGGCAATTTAACTAATGGTTCCCAAACTCCTCCCTTTTATTACACATCATTAAAATAAATGATGATTGTAGTAGCAAAATGAAATGATATTATGTAGTAGCAAAAAATGTGTTTTTTATTTTTTTCATTACTCTTTGTCTTGTGTACAAAAAAAAATTAGTAATCTCTAGCTCATGAGCAATCCTCAACATGTTCAACAACATTATGGAAACATTTCCCGACTCTCAGATAATTTTTCCTTAATTTCTGTTATTCCGCTTTTTAAACCAGTCTAACCTGCCATTCGAGCACTTAAAAGTAGTCTCATAAAATCGCTTAGCAAAATTCATCGACATTTTGTCCAGATAATGGAAGATAGCGGCGCGGCTTCTTCGATTGGTGAACCACTTCCGTAATGCTTCTTCAACATCCTTGCGATCTGCGTTTCTCAACTTCTTTTCTGCCATCTAAATTTTTTTCATGGGCAGAAATTATTAATTGCCTATTTTTCCATATGTTACAAACTGCAGATTTTGATAGTTTATATTCCCTGCAAATATCTGCTTGATTGCATCCATCTTAAATTTTTCTGATTATGCCCATTTTATCATCAATGAAGAACGTTTTACGTTTAATGCTCACCATAGTTAAATTTGAGACACTTGTTTGCAGGATTTTTTTAACTGAACTGAGAGCAAAAAGGAGTTGAAATGAGGGCCTTATCAATGCATATTAGTGTTCAACCCTTTGACCAAAAATGAATAATTACTCATTCCATCTGACAGAAAATTGATCCCACTGACACCTTACAAATGCATCATCTGCCTGGGTTGGAAACATCTGCTTGGTTTGTTTAGGGATGGGAAAGTGAGATGAAAGAAGCAAACAAGAAAAAATGTTTATCGCTACATTCTCCTCTATAGATGGCTTAGAAAATCGGTATATGTATTTATTTTGTGGTAGAAATTTCAGAATTATTACAAAAAAAAATTTTAAAAAATCAGTTGAAGACAGAAAAAAGTTCATTATATCCAACTTCCTCACTTTTTTGATTCACAATATCCATAAAAAATAACNAATTTTTTTTACATAAAAATTTAGTGCTAGAACACTAACGTTTATACAAGAATTATTATATTTGCCACCAACTTGAGTAAGTGGATCATGGTATATATGGCATTGTGTCATATAATAAAATTTAAGTCATATTTTTGATGAATTTTCGCTCTTATTTTTGCAATTTTTTTCATGCATGAGGCTACTAAAAACAACTATTTTGTTCCTTTTCTGTGGCAACCCTGTATTATGTAATGTTTTCCTTCTTTATATTTTCGCATTTTAAACTGGTATTTCGTTACTAATTAAAAATTACTCTAAAATTTTTTTTCAGTTTTAATGAATATTTCTGAAGTTATATATGACGTAAGGCAAAGAAATATCCACGAGTATTTAAGCTGGATTTGTGGAGTTTGGTGCAACTATTGGATAGGATAACTAAAGTAATTTATACAATTTGCAAGCTTATCGCTACATTTTTTGTTCGTAATTTATTGCTGGTTCATCACACCTCTTAAAGCTTTAAACTTTATTGTTATGTTTGAAAATCTCATGGCCTACACTTAATATTTTTATAAAAACAATTTTTTTCATGAGAAATATTAAAAGATTAGTTAACATAGAAGCGTTTCCATGATTTTGTCCAACTCCTGTATAAAACAGCGCAATACAGGTTCATTATAATGTTACATGAAATAAGTGTTTTATGATAAAATAACAAAAAAGGAAAAAAATTACTCCTGAACATTTTGTATATAAATTTTAATGAACACAATAACTTCTAATATTATGAGTATTATATTGGATACATACAGAATCAACTCGGTAGTGTACAATAGTAAAATCTTTCTTAGAAAACTTATGTTCTAAATGATACAAATCAAAGAGAATGGGAAACAAAGAACTACTTCTAAAAAATTTTTATCAATAGCTTATTGCATGTGGTATTGTGAGTTACTATATAAAATTTAAATTTCTAACAGAAATTTTACATTTATGATTCAAAGCTAAACAAATAATAAGAAATGGAAGAAAAAGCATAGGCGTCGCAGGTGTCCAAAGTTTGAGGGGAGCGAAATTAAAGTACAATCAACACTAAATTAAAAGATTTGAAATTCAAGTTATTTTTGAATAGGCTTTTTTTTGGGGGGGGGATTTTATAGCGTGTTGGTATTTCCTAAAAATACTCCCCTTTAAAACTTAAAGTGCGTAATATTCCAAGAATTCGCTTTAAAAACCTCTTTCTTCCACTTAAGGTTGAATTTTTGTTTAATCAATGTTTTTTTGGTATTAACAAATTTTTGCTGATTGATTTTTTTTAACCAATCAACAGAATTGCACCTTTTAAAAAAGTTGGAAAATTAAGGCTAAATAACGTTAGATAATTATTTTCCCTAAATAACTGGATAGTTGTTTCTCCCGGAACATGACTACGAAGCACTCTTCTGTTACATAATCACCAAAACATCGAGATCTTTCCAGTATTCGAGGAACTCATCAAGATTCTAGAGATTCATCAACTGTCTCGGAAGACAGTTAGGCTCTTCGTTTCTAATGTGCCACTTCTTAACTAACTAACTTATTTCTTCCATCATACTTATTTTATGACCCATTTTTTGGGTTTATGATTAGCAGCACGAAGCTCAACTCCATAGCCTTGTGATTTTGAAGACAACCCAGAAAATAACAGAACTTCTGGATCAAGTATAGGAACAAATCAGCCTTCGTGGAAGATTTTTTGATGACCTTATCCGCATTTATTTCATATAGAGAGAAAACCTCCCACGGTTAGCCCGACGACAAGGGAACATTACTACCCATAATTCGTCGACCACTGAAGAACCTGGGGCACCGCATTGTGCTTTATTTCTTATGCTACCGCTACTCCCTAAATACTTGACTTTGACCTTCATATTTGCAGCTCTAAATGCAGCAGCTCAATGAGGTTTTCGATAATAATAATAGCTTCTGTTTTAATGCACGCTATAACAGTAATGAGAATCAGGCGCTCAATCCAAGTATACTCCACGCCATGGCTGAACATGTTTACTCATGTTCTTTGGGTCCTTTTTGTTTCAATGAAGTCGATTTGAAGATGGGAACAATTTGTGTACCAATGTTTCCTGTAAGAAGTCATATTTCGCGACATATGCCTAGACACATTTAAAAACTCCTTCTGAGCCTTCCAGTTAGTGTGTGAAAAAAAATACAAAATTTATTTAAATAATCTCTTAGAAAATTAAATAATTTCAAACATTTAACTCGATTGCAAATGCTTGACTGACGGTGATATGAACTAGGTTTGTCGTAAAAAGTTAAGCGTTTTATTTGGTAAAATTAACTTCTATAATTAATTATTTATTTTAAAATATGGTTAGCAGAGAACATAACCCTTTATTTAAAAAAAAATTAACGAGGATCTTCTAGTAAGCTAAAATTCTCTTTTATTTCTCAATTCCTTCATACTTAATCTATAAAAGACACATCTGTAGTTACAAAATTCCAGTTTAAATTATTAGGTAACTTGATTGGTAGCAAAAGTTAATATTGTTTAAATGAAGGTAGTTCTATGTATTTTTCACTTGTCTTTATACATAATCATATAGCTTTAAAAACATTCTCCCAACTCAAATCAAGATTGATTAAAAATAACCTAAGGTAAAACAAATTCATCAATTTCCACAACGCACTGCGACTCCTCCTGGCTCAAAGTATAACCTTTTCGAGGTTGCTGTTGTTGCCGTAGGCTTTAAGGCAAGGGGTGCGATTGTTCTTATTTTCCAGTGGGACCATCTATGGCCAAGAATTTGACTTCTGTCACACTCATACGTCACATCCGTTTATAGGGCGGACTCATTCATAGATCCATCCATCCACAGATCGTAATTTTGACCTGAAAAAGAGAACAATCTATCTCCAATTTAGTACCCCAGAGGTATAATTTGTTATGGGAACCTGTAGGGCTTTGTGACCCGACAGATTCAACGTGCACCAGTTACCATTTACTACAAGGGAAGTCTTCGGCCGGCGTGATTCAAACTCCCTTTCTCCTGAACGGGCATCCAGCGCTCTACCAACAAGGCTATCCCGATTTTAACCTTTTCTATAGCTGGGTTGTGTAGGACAAAACTAACGGTCGTGACTCAATTGCTTTTTTCGTCAAAAAAGCACACCATTTGCATGTATCATATTTCTATTCATTTTTATATTATTCGTGTATTCTGTATTATATATTATTTGAGAGTATTATTTTTAATGAAAACGGAATTATGAATATTTATATAACATACTTACCGAGAATTACTTTACTTAACGCTTATTTCCACCTGGCAGGCTCACGAAATTTTTATAGACAATGCAATTTGATCCTGTCGCTACTGTGACGTCATCTAAGACGTCATTATGGACCTAAATGACGTATTTACCGAAACGACAATACTTTATAAAAAGCTTGAAAAAAAATTTTTCTTTATCCTTTTAGGATGAAAGGTTTAAAAATGCAATAATTTTGCTTTATTGAAAAATGGTTGACACAAGGTTGTCGTAAGGTTACATGATTTCTGGGTTAACATTTAACTCGTTCGCTTCCTGATTATCATGTTTTATTACCACGTTTATATAAACTTGCCTTCGTGCATGTCTGTCCGGGTGGAATTTTGTAATCGATTTTAAACTAACTTCCCGACTAGCTACAAACTTCAAATTTGGCACATAGTTCAGAATTGGATGACAATGCATGAAAATGAAGAAAAAAAGACATACAAAGTAAAATAAAATTAAAATTTAAAATAAAAATATTTTCGAGATTGTCTTTTGTTGTCGATTTCATTATTCCAAATTAGTATTACAGGTCAGGTGAAAAGATTTTTATTGTTGGAGATTTTTATTGGCTGAAAAATCACGTGGTAGGATCCAGTTTTTCCTCATTCATTTCCAGATTGTTTTGGTTGTCATCAGCATAAAACTAATGAAAGTCGTAAAGGTATTGTT